TGTTGTTTTGAGTCGTGTTGTATTGACATTTCCAAGACTTGAAGACTAGCGAGGTAGGCCAACCATTTAGTTGTCCTTCTCGAGCTTCTTGATGCCACGAAGGCGACCCGTGCGGCGGGCGGCGATGAGACCGACCTTCTTACCGGCGGGCGCGTCACGGCGGACCGTCGACGGGTGACCAATGTGCTGGTGGTTACCACCACCGTGGGGGTGCTCCACGGGGTTCATGGCAACACCACGCACCTTGGGCCACTCGTTACGCTTGACCTTGTACTTGTGGTACGCGCGGCCAGCCTTGAGGAGGGGCTTGTCCGTGCGGCCACCGCCGGCGACGACACCGACCATAGCACGGCAGCTACACAGCAACTTGACCATCAATGCCTGCCAACCCATAGAGAGAGATCGAGCGCGCCCATCGGAATACTTACGCACCGCATCAAGCGGGGAAAGTAGTATGGGAACTACTACACAGCACCACGCAGCAGCGTACGCATACTGCGTGGGCGTGTGCCACGGGCTTGCGCCCGGGCGATCGAATATCGAATGGAAAACTTACGCCGAGGGGATGGTCTTCTTGGAGCCCGACGGAAGACGGATCTTGGTCTTGCCCTTGTCCTCGTCGTGCGAGACAATGACGGCGTAGTCGCCCGAGCAGCGAGCGTACTTGCCCTTGTCGCCGATGCGGCACTCGACGTTGCACACAATGGTACCTTCCGGGAGCTGCGAGAGCGGGAGGATGTTGCCGACGGCCATGTTGGCCTTCTTGCCGGCGTAGATGAACATGCCCGTGTACATGCCCTCGGCCGCGATCATGAGCTCGTGCTGGATGCGGTAGCGGTACGGGTCACGGAACGAGACGCGGGCGAGCGGGGCACCACGACCCGGGTCGTGGATGATCTCCTTGATCACGCCCTTGATGTAGCCCTCACGCTCGACGTAGTCGTTCACGCGGAAAGCGGCGGCGCCCTTGCGCGTCTTGGTGTGCGACCGGAAGATCGAGCCGGCACCCTTACGTTGGCCACGAATAACACGACCCATGGTAAAATGTCAAATGCCAAACTCAATTCCCCACAGCCAAAATGACTGGTTTTCAAATCGCATTCAGTCTCAAAGGGTTTTATTCAATTTCAAAGGATTTCGCCGTTCCACCAACCACAGGCAGGTACGGATACCGAGATCGTTATACGGATAAACACGCCGTGTCAAAGCACCTCGGGTTGCTTGGCCTTTCTGGCGCTGTACGATCTGCTGCTGGGTTGCCATAGAGTCGTTGGCCGATCGACGCTTTGGCTCGAGTTGATGGAGCGTTGGCGAGATGAGATGGCGGGTGAAGAGATGACGCAAGATCGTCACGGTATGATGCGTGGAGAAGGGAGAGAATGCGGGTTGCCGATGAAGATGGAATGTCGAGCGACCGTACGGGGACAGCGGAGAGACAGAGGTGGACGTGGGTTCGGGCTATGCTGTCGACGCCACGGCGTCTGAACCTTGTGTGGAATTGCTGGTCGCCTGCGGCAGATCTGGCGATGGCAAGCAGCACGTTCTGTCGCGTTGAGGTAGTACCTCTGTGGTAAACGGTACTGACGAGAGAGCTCGAAGGGAGTGCTGCCCAAGCGACAGCAACTCGTTCGGAGGCGCCCATTGAACGGAGCTCCACGCTGGCGATACGTGGGCTCAACACGGCAGTAGTGTACTAGTACCTAGTTCGTACGTTCTTTGTGACTTTCATTACGCTACGCTGCTCTCTCGGCGCATTAATCTCCTAGCGATTGCTTTCTAGGTCGTTATGTACTGTAGTAGCTATCCGTTCTAGTCGCCAAACGCATATTTTGACTTGACTTCCACACGCAAGCCTTCATCTGACAACACGGGTATCGTACTAGTAGTCCTTCCCTACCTCAAGGCATTCTCTCGCAACACTCCCAGGCCACGCCCGACAACGTTGCCAAACCGAAAGGAGGTCGTGCAAGTTCGCCACATCGTACGCCGACGCCGTGGAGCAACTCGAAAGGGTGTCGTTGGGCGTTGTCGGCTGATCCCCATGACTGTACATCTGCATAGGCTTGCGATAGCTCTTGCGATACTAGTATCAGTAAGTGCTGCCGGTTTGGCTGGGCAGCAGTACTAAATCCTCCGAGTCCCTCGCTAAAAGACAGGTTCATTGAATCGTATATTACTTTTCAGTAGCGCTAGTGTACAGGGGGCGAGTGGTGTCTGTCGGGTGGAAAATATCGATCGTAAATAGCGGGTTTGTCTGGGACTGTTGCGTCATCCATCGGTGCTCGAGCATCTCGGTCGCAGAGAGGCGGTGTGTTGGGTTCTTGGCCAAGAGCTTGGCAATGAGGTCTTTGGCGTCGGCCGAGAGATCCGTGCAGCGCGGGTGGTCGAAGCTCACGTCACTCTTCTTGATGCGCATCTCGATGAGTTCTTCGGGCAGCGCGCCGTCCATATCGAACGGATGCATGCCCGTGAGCAAGATGTACAAAATGCACCCGATCGCCCACATGTCGGCGGCCTGCGAGCACAGCACGCCGTCCTTGGTGGCTTCAAGGAGCTCCGGTGGCAAGTACGCCGACGTGCCGACGTCGTCCGTGCGGCTAAACACGCTGGGTGGGCCCGCGCTGCCAAAGTCGGCGAGCTTGGCTTCGTTGTCGGCGCGCTTTTCCTTGAAGCGCAAAAGCACATTCTCGGGCTTGAGGTCCTTGTGCACGAGTCCATTCGCATGAAGAAACAAAATGCCTTGCGCAATGTCGTGAATCATCTTGCGCGCGTCGAGCTCGGAGAACGCGCCATAGGTGACAATATGCTCAAAGAGCTCGCCGCCCGCGACGAGTTCGGTCACGACGCACACGCGGTCGTCCGCGTCCGTGTACACGTCCTTGAGGTCGATGATGTTCTTGTGACCGCCAAGCGACTTGATCTTTCGCAGCGCGTGGATTTCGCGGTGCAATGACGCGCGGTGGGCGTGCAGCGACTTGATTGCTGCCTTCTCGCCCGTCGTGCGCGAGACGCCAAGACGTACAACACCAAAGGCTCCTGTGCCGAGCGCGTCATCGCAGATGGTCCATTGGTCCGTGGCGCAGGTCTCACGAATGCTCGTAGTCTTCTTGTGCGCATGTGCGCGGCTGTGCGCCGAGGTAGGCGACACGACCGTGCTCATACCGAGGGCTGTGAGACCCGCGACGGCCACCTGTAGCGGCGACGACGGCGTCCAGAACGACCGGACAAGACTCGTGTGGCGAGACGACGACGGCGAGATGCGCAGCGTCGTCGTCTGCTTGCGCAGTGCGTGCCACGACCGCGATGTCCGAGAGAGAGGAACGTTCATTGTAATAGAGTGGCGAGAAGATGTAAATAAGAAGTGGTTGACCGTCGGCGCTGGCGTGGACATGCGACGTTGGGTCGGGGTGTGTGTCAAACCGACTTTTACCCGATTCGAATGCACCAATGGCCTGTCGTGTATCGGGCTGCACGCGATATGATTGGATCATTTGATTTTCAGATGGCCAATCGGCAGAATGCGGACTTCCCAGGTGGCGTTGGCGCCAGAATCTTGCCAAAACCGCCCAAGTGCAAACTCAACCCAGCTGGTGAAAGGTGGTTTTTCCTGAATTCTCGACTTTGTTTCTTGCACGATTCCTTGTCGACGATCCAAAATGGCAGTGTACACGGCAGCACCCTCGAGGCGGTACCTCAAACCCGGTGCATCCTCCCACCCCCTCCCGGTTTGTAGTTGTAGGTGCCGGATGAATCCCATAGAAGGCGCAGCGAGGACGCTGAACGTAGCTATCGTGGCGACACGAGCGTGCTTCAAAAGCATGTGCAACGCTTGAACTCGCCGCCAAAGTTTTGGATTTTAGAGGCGAACGCTGGCGGATTTACACAGCACGTCGCAGGACGCGAGCAGAGTTGTCGCACGGCTGTGGATCACGCGGAGCTCCTCCAAAGCTGGTTCTGTGGATGCTCTGTGATAAGACGATCACAGAGCTGCTGCTGCTGCAAATTTTGAGGCTGTAGTACCGGCACGCAGCACGTTGGTGAGCGCTACCGACACACAATTCGAGTCACAAAGTCCCAGTTGTGATCATGACATGGAGGTGTGCGCTTTGGCAGGCCTTGAAAAGGCGAAGACCCTGCAGAGCAAAGATGAGCAATCAGATTTCTAGATTCCCAGATTCCGGCGCGAACGAGTAAAAAAGTGGCGTTAGCACCACGTGGCAAACCAGCGCCAGATGCAGGTATCGCTGGCATCGAGTCTCTTGATGCAAGCTGCAATGCAAGAGACTCGCACCGACCGCGTCCGCAACGATCTCGACACGCCACCTTGAGCCTTCGAGCATCCACGCCCTACTCGTGCGCTTCTTGCCCCTCTGACAAGCACATCTCAAAATGCCACACCGATATATTTCCTCTCGCGATCTCTCTCACTTCTTTGTTTCGGGTAAAAGACATTCGCTGCCTAGTGCACTACGCCGAACAAGCCAGATCCTCCTGCTTCGTTCTTAATAAACCTCCGATTAAGCGTCGTCCACACCGATGGGTGTCATTGACACGTTGCTGAGAATTATGTGCAGTCGCCTTGCAGCGTGCCACGTCACACATGGGTCGCCTCCAGATCTTATTGGCATCAGTGGTATGGCTGGCTTGCACGGATGCAAGTAGGAACAAGTTGGAATATACATTGACTAGCGTACTAAAGCCCACAAGACGGGTGTTTCAAGGCGCCTCGACGAACGTGGCTTCGATCGAGAGGTTCTTGCGCACGCTGCGCAGCTGGATCCACGTGCTCGTGAGCTGGAGGAACTGGAGGAACGCGGCGAGCACAAACGTGGCGGACGAGTTGAGCGAGACGGCCACGACGACGAGGATGGCCGCCGCGAGGTAGACACACAAGAGAATGCGGTCGATGCAGAGGAGGTAGCAGAGAAAGGCCTCGGCGCGCTTGCGACTGAAGTCGTCGTCCGCTGCCATGACGAGGTTGGGGCACACGAGGCGCCATGCCAGAGCCTCGAGGAGCGCTGTCGCAAAGAGAAAGACAACTGCCGCGTACGCGTAGCTGCACAAGTCGCCGCTGCAGTCGGTGCTGACAAGGACCCAGACGCCGGCGGCCACGAGCGCGCCGCCGACGAAGCCGCTTACGATGCGCTTGAAGCGGGCGTGGTACGGCAGGTCCATGATGGAGAAGAAGAGCGCCATGCAGCCCATGCCGCCCGCAAACTTGTCCGAGGGTCCGTCCTTGAAGGGCGTCATGGCCGCGCATGCGATCCACGCACAGAGCCCGATGAGCACCTTGCGCACGATGGCTTCGCGCTTGTGCGGCGCGAGGTCGTCCGTGACCATGCTCGGCGAACAAGAAATGCGTTAAATGACGTTTAAACCGAATTCGAACGTGCCAACCTTGCCCGTTGGCAACGGCGCCAGAGTAACGGTATGGATCGACGCCAATGGCAATACGCCCCATTTGTTGCAGCGTACAGTACGTTGGAGTGATATGCGATGGGACCAAGGCCGTGGGCAAGCCAGCGTCGCTGGTCCTGTACTAATACATGTAGTACTGGTTATGTAGCAGAGTGGTGTGCTTGGGTGCAAGCTCTCGGTGACGGGAGTTGTAGTGGTCGCCGCACGCTTGATTCTGTGGGATGTCCAGCGTCCTCTGAGTTCGAGTGGCAATAAGTGGCAGCAACAATCAAAACACCTACGTTTTATTGCGTTTAACGCCAACAGACGCGTTTTTTACAACACCAGCTGGCACATTGGATCATGAAGGGGCACGCGGACAAGACGGGCGACTGGCGCGAACGCTATGGCTTCCTCAATGCGACGGACAAGCTCTTCTTGGCCTATCCCTGTCCGGCCAAGCCACGCAGCCCCAACGAGAGCGACAAGGCGGCCGACTGGTGCGTACCTTCTCTCGCCTTGCATACCTCATGTGGCATGCAGGGGCATCACGATGCGACCACAGACCGTTCGCCGTCGTCGCCGCCGCCTTCGACTTAGGGAGCTTGTAGGCGAGTGATTTTCTCAACAACGAGAGCGCCGTCGAGCAGCTCACACTTTTGAGCCAGCCCGTGTCGCCCAAGGAGCGCGGCCAAAACATCCTCATCCTCGTAGCGCCTCGGGCGTCAACGGTCTCTCACGCAGCGTGGTAGGGGCCGCCCGGCGTCGGCAAGACGTCGTACATGCAACTGCTTCTGGCGCACTTGTACCCCGCGGTGGCCGAGCGCAAGCGATGCACCTTGTCGCTGGAAGCCGACCAGATTGAGTTGGCAGCGGATGCCAAGTACGATCTGACATGTGTACGGTAGTGAGCGCGATTTGCTTGTCAAGGTCCAGGCGTTCACGCGGTACCACGAAAAGCACACGGTGCTGGTCGACAAGTACCTCTACATTGCGATCGAGAACTTTGATCGGTAGCCGGACACAGTCTCGTGCGCCATCGTCAAAGCACCTGCGTAGGCTCAACCCCCGCGTGCAGCAGCACACGCTCGGCCCGATATGGGACACGATCAACACCAAGTCCATTTACTTCATCTTGACCGTGACGCCCGATGCGAGCCGCGTCACCGAGCAGATCCGCGTACGCCGTCCTTCGGGTATCGTCGCTTTCCGAGTCTTATCGATGCCTAGTCGTCGAGCAAGTGCATTCCGTTGGTGCCGCTCACACCCGCGCACGTGCTCGAGAAGGTTCTGCGCATCTGCACTTCTGAACGCGTATCCAAATGCGATAGTCCAACAAGAACATTAAGGGTCCCTGGCGACCGTAGATTGGCTATGAGCGGTCGGCGATCGAGTCGCTCGTCGCACGAAGAAAAGCCAAATGTGTCCCAACCGTGCAGCTGCTCCAGAAGCTGTTTCTGACGCACCACTACCTCAGCACCGAGAACGTTCGCAAATCGTTGCCGGCAAATACAGGCGCGGAGACAAACAGCCGAGTCCTTTCGATCCCAGAGGTCACATTTCCGCTTCGGCGCTGCACTGTGTGCACGCTCCTTCCACCGTGCAAGCACATCACTTTGGACAAGATGTACGCCAAGGTCCTCGGTCGATTCTTGAAGTAAAATTGGCAAGGAGTGACGCGGCTTAGGTGTCGCACATGCGATCGTTGTACCCGCAAGACAACCAGCGCGCCGTGTGCCCCGACTTTGCCCGCACCGGCGTCTGCCACGCCTTTCACCGGCGCGCCAAGTGCCTCTACGACCACCCGCTGGAGCTCCACGAGATCGATACGTCGCCGCTTGCCCCGCGTTGCAAGGTGCACACGCTGCCACTGCCGTGCGCCCACTGCGCAACCCTGATGCGCAGTGTGGCCGAGGCCAAAGCGCTCAAGGCAGCGCTCAAAACAGCCGAAGACAAACGCGTAAAAGCCACAAAAGAGCTCGGTGTTGTCCAGCACCGGCTGTATCTCCACCTCAAGACCCAAGCGACGCTGTGGGGCAACGCCAAGCGGCAGTTTGACGGTACCACCGAGCATCTGCGCGGCCTCGTGAGCGCCGCGACAGCCAGCGTCGCGCAATGGAAGGACGTGATTCGTGACACAACGCCCAAGGTCGCCGCGCTGGACGCCGCGATCGCCCGTGGGTTTTGCAAAGGCGTCGGCAAGGGCCAGGCGTACCCCTTAATGCTGGCCGAGAAGAATGCGCAGCATTAAGACACTGGTTCTTGTTGTATCTGGGCAGTGGTGAAGCCATGACCGGCCAATCAGTGCAAGCGTGTATCGCTGGTATGACTCCATTTAGCGCTAGCTTTGTCCATGTAGTGCGGTCTAGATGCCGGCAATTCGTGGACGATGGCTCGACCCTCGCTGCAGTGTGTACACTGCCCAAAGCTACGACACAAACAAATGCAGTAAGGAGATATGAGAGTTGGCTGTTTTTGGAGTTTATACTATCTAGTTTGCAAACGACGATGGCGCGGTGAAGCGCAGAGTCGGATTGAGTTCGCACTGCTGCGCAAACGCCTCCTGCTCTGAGCGCAGCGCGAGCGCGAGGCGGTTGTAGTTGTCGCCCACGTGGTATCCGTACGGATTGAACTTGGCCTTGTCCATGTTGCTCTGCATCTCCTCGATGCTAAAGTAGTCGACAACCTTCTCGAGAATGTACGGGTTGTCAAACTCCTTCTTGCTGCGAAGACTCGCCGTGAAGCTCAGACCACGCTGTGTGTGCGCAATGTACTGGTCGACCTTGGCTTGCGTCGCCGGCCTGCATGCGCCCGTTGGCAGCGGCGGCAGCTCGGGCAGGCCATCGCCATGTCGTTCGTGCGCCCGCGCTTCTGCCTGCGCCGGCTTCTCGGTCGGCGCCGGCGCAGGGTTGGGCGAGGTGTGATACGGCGCCGCAGGTGGGCTCATCCCGCCCGCGTCGCTCTCGTCCGAGTCGGAGCCATAGCCGGCGAGGCCCAGTGGGTTCCACAGCGCCATTCCTCCGTTGCCGTGAGCCTCGTGTGATTGGCTCGTTGGAACGACGCGATTTGATTGGCTCGAAATTCCAATCCGTCAAGACCCGAATTTAAACACTGCAATTCCCGATGAGCGCAAACTTAGGACATGTTTTCCACCTTACTACGACTAGCGACCTCCTCAAGCTTGACTGGACTATCGACGACTCGTGCTCCTGGACATAAATTTGGTGTGCATAAACTCGATCGTGCAGCGCATACACTCGAGCTGCGTCTCGCGCTCCGTTCGTTCCAAATGGAAGCGGGCTTCACGCTCCGCCTTGTCGAGAAGGAACCGCTGCTGCTCGAGCTCGAGCTTGCGCTGGCCGAGCGCGAGCTCCTCCCGCTTGGCAGTTGACATCAAATGCAGCAGATCATCCGCATGAGTGCGTACATGTGTTCTTCCCCGTCAGCTGGTGGCCTCGGCAAGTAACTTTGCACTGCGAGTTTGCCGTTGACGTGGCAGCTTGTGTCGTCCGCAACGCCAATAAGAGCTTATCGTTCGTGGCCAAAACAAGTCGCTTTTGGTGCAAGCGCTTGGAGCACACACACATTGAACGTCTACGATTCAAACGTGCGTGAAACGTTCGGATCGGCGACTGATGCTGCAGAACCCGCTCGAGCGCATTCGCCTCCAGCGCGCCAAGAAGGTGCTCGACATGCAGCAAGACCAATTGCGGTCGCAAATGCGCATGGAAGGCGAGCACAAGCGATCGCACGACCCGTACCAGCAGGTGGCGGCGTCACCGCGGGCGTCGTCGTCGTCCTGGGTCCGGCTGCCACCTGCCACGTACAAGGTAACTCTAAGCACGACACAAGTGGACGAACGACAAATACGCAGGGCGTCCCGATCGCGTCGTACCCCAAGACGCGCGAGTTCTGGGTCACCGTCGACTTTACCAAGCTCTCTACGCGCCAGCTCCGCGCGGCCGCGGACCTCCTCGGCGTCGACTTGGACGGAAAGAAGGTCGCACTTGTCGCTCGGCTTCAAGATTGGGTCAACGCGGCTGCGATCGAAGCCCGGCGAAAGCAGCTCGAGAAGGAAGCCCGGAAGCGCGAGCGTCTCGAAGGTAAGCACGTGATGATTGCAACAGCGCAAATATGAGCGACGGGTAGTGTCGGGCGGCGTGTTTGGCTGTGGCAACAACTTTGCAGGCCAGCTCGGCCTTGGGCATCGGGACGCCATGGCGAGTCCGACCGAAATCATGGCGTTCAAAGGGCGGCAAATCGTCCAAGTGTTTACGGTAACTTAGTCGTATTTTTTCCTGTTGCCAAGGACAATATTGGCGCGTAGGGATTTGATGCGGACTTTGCCTACGCGCTCTCGGCCGACGGGGAAGTGTACGGCTGGGGTGGCAATGGCGTCGCGCCGATTGGGCACCTGCCGCTCGAGGTGCACGACGTCAACCAAGAAGGCGACCACGGCTCACAAAGCGATACCTTTCTTCTCCCCCGGGTCGTCCGGAGCCTTCGCGTTGAGGAGGTGGTGAGCATCTCCTGCTCGCGCGCATCGGGCCACGTCGTTGCGCTCAACTCGTCCGGGCAGTGCTTTGGATGGGGCAAAAACGATTTTGGCGAACTCGGCCTTGGCCACGTGCGCGCGCCCGAGGTGCACACCCAGGTCTTATAGTTGGTTCTACTGTGTACCATAGGCGCCGGGGCCGCAGTTGCTCGAAAACTTGCGCAACATGGTGGTCACGAGTGTCGGTGTCGGTCACTGCCACACGGTCGTCAGCACGAACGGCGGCCACGTGTACGCCTTTGGCGCCGCCTGGGGGTGCAAGAATGCAATTGATATTTCGATCGTATCAATGTCTATCGTAGAGGCCAGCTGGGCGTCGGCAGTACCAAGCGGGAAGGCATCAAGGACCAGCACCTCCAAGTGTGTTTTCCGTCACCGACGCTCGTGTCCTTTCCGGTGCCGGTCAAAGTGTCGTCCGTGGCATGCGGCGCCGTCCACACGGGGGTCGTCACGACGGCCGGCCATCTATATACGTTTGGTTGCGGCGACGGCGGCCGTCTCGGTCTCCAGACGACCGGTGACGTCATTGCACCGACGCTCGTGACATCGCTCGAAGCCGACTTTGTCTTGCGCGTCACCTGCGGGAACTGGCACACGCTCTGCATTGCAGCTCCGCGCACGAAAGCAGCGTCCTCCACCTCACTGCGACACGCCGGCGGGTGGGTCTACGCGTTCGGGACAGGTCTGCACGGTCAGCTCGGTCTCGGCAAACAGAAACAAGCTTTGCTCCCCAGTACATCGTTCGAGTCCGTGGATCCTGCTTGATCTGCTGCGTAGCTCGTGTGCCAGAGCTGCAGCGTCGAAAGGTCAAGTGCGTCGATGTCCATGTCTCGGCGTACCACTCGGTCGCGCTCGGTGCCGACGGCTCGGTCTTTACATGGGGCCGAAATACATCCGGGTGCCTCGGTCGCCCGACACCCAACGAGATTGCACCCGACCCCGACGTCATCGCCGCCGTCAAGACATGGGGCTACGGCCCCGTGGCCTCGAGTACGCCCGCATCCATCTCCTCGGCCGATGTGCAATGAGCCACGTAGTTGCTTGTGGCTGCCGCTTCACGCTCCTACTGGCGTCGCCGTGGCCAGGCATCAAGAAGGAAGCCTTCCACGACGTGCTGACAATGAATGCGCGCCGCAAAGTCACCGACGGCGCGCCCGAAGCCCCGCGTTTGGACGACGACGACGACGAGGGATAACCGTGCCAACGTACATAAGTATTGTTTGAGTGGGTGGACGTGTATGCAAGCAGTGAACCCTTGTTCGTGCAGCAACCTTCTCCATGGCAGAAGGGCGCTACGAGCGAGTGCTGTACAGCGGCGTTGGTATCGCGTGCGACGGGCGGGGCTCGCTGTCGTCGGCATCGAGCGCCATCTCATCGCGTGGCCGCGACCGAAACAAACTCAGCGCTTCCAAATTCATGGCCGAGACGCCCCTCAAGAAGACTCGCCGCACGTCTTCCTCCTACATCAGCCTGCTTCCGGACCCAAGTTGTATGGAATGAACTGTACGAGGCGGGTCTTCTCGAGCGCATATGCATCCATGTCAATCTGCGCCCGGTGCAGCTGGTCGCGCAGCTACATCAATGTGTGTACGTGTACTCTAGGATTTGGTGGTCAAAACCTCGTGAAGCTCGGCTGTGTGGGCATCTTGCAGCGCGTAGATTTCTTGTGCGTGCGCACTGCTTTGCGTTTGAGCTGACCGGCTTTGTGCCTGGGCGCGGATGTACGAGCGCCAGTGCTGGAACGGACGGCGGGGCAGTCGCTACCCAGCAACGTCAGTAGCGCAGCATCGGCGGGACCCACCGAAATGTAAAGCGATAGGGCGCGGCGCAGGTGCTGGCGCTTTTGCCGACGCGCCAGCATGTACTGCGTCCATGCATGGAGACACCGACCGGCCGAGTATGCGCTCGACCACCGCCGACGCTACCTCGTTACTATCGCACCGTTTCCAGCGCCCATATTGACGTACCGTGTCGAGAGTGCGTCGTTGCAGTGCGTCCGCGACGCGCAAGAGAATGGCCTCTTGCCGCGCGGCGATGGTCTGCAGGCGCTGCTGCTTGGACGAGACGGCGTGTACCGATCGCTAGAAACGCTGTCGCCACCAAGATACAGATACCAGCGAATCGGTACTCTCTGCGCATCGAGCTCGTGGCGGTGCGTCGCGTTGAGCCGCACGACCTCGGCGGCGTGCTGCTCCAAGAGTCGTTGCTGCAGTCGAGCAAAGAGGCGCTAGCATAGCCCATGGCAGTGAAAAGTCATGACTTCGAATGCGATTTCGTACGGCAGACTCGGCGCCCAATGTCGCCGACGTCGAGGTGAGAAGCCCACTGAACGCCTTGGCTTCGTCCGAGTCACTCGCCATGGCTTGCAGTGGCTGCACCTACGCTGTCTCCGTGCATCCAAGAGCCATCGAGTCGCGTACCTGCGCGCCAACAAGGCTGTCAGTGCGGTCGTCCCGCGTCACGATCGGCGTTGACGGCCACAAGAGAGCATCTTCCTTGCTGCCAGACGTCTCGTCCCAGAAGCGCGCGGCTTGTAGCCCAAGAGACTTGAGCGGCCTGTCGGGGATGAGCAGCGAGATGCTACGGCGCATACCGTACGAAGGAATCGCAACGACGTCGGCCGCGCCGTCTTGGGCCTCGAGGAGGTCGATGGCCGCCAAGTGGCTCTCAAGCGACCGCAGCGGATCCATTCCTGAACGTTTCACTGTCGAAACAGAATATCTTAACCACTGTTTCATAACTAAATATTGTGAGCTAAATCGCCAGCTTGGGTGTGCTTGCAGCGCTGATCGCAGAGCTCGTGCGCGATCGGTTGAGCATGGCGGTGATTGCGTCGGCCATGCGGATGCCCTCGACCGGCTGATCCAGTTGGTGAAAGAACGGGTTCGACTCCTTTGCTTTCTGAAGCGTGTCGGTGAGCTGGCGTTCGCTCGTTGTTCGGCGCGTCGTCACGCGCCGTGCGCCCAGTGCGTTGAAATACTTGTTGAGAATCGTTGTTTTGGCCGGCGCTTTGGCCATCTAACATCACACTTGAGCGATCGATTCCGACAAAATACGTTGCGTACGTCCAAAAAATACGTTTCGATCGACTGCGAGTCGTCAATGGCCACGGCGCCGCGCGGAATAAACTTGAATTCGTCGCAAGATGCGAGTTTGGCGTGCGTGGCCGCTGAGATCTGAATGTGCCCGGGCAAGCTCTTAGACTCCATGGCGTTGGCGACGACGGTCTGGCTGCCCCAAATGAGATAGCGCGGCTTCTTGATACCGACGACGCCGCCCACGACCTTGCCGCTGTGAATGCCAATGCGCATCTGCAAGTTGACGTTCTCGGATTTCCGAAAGGCCTCCATTTCGCGGAGCATTTCGATCGCAAATGCGGTAATGGCGATCGCATGGGACTTTTCGCTCTTGTAGTTGGGCAGTCCTAAATGACCAAAGAAATGCAATACCTCGTAAAAATTAGGGAAATGTACCGCCAATGACAATAAAAGCATCACCGACCGTGTCCATCTTGTACACGCCAAACGCATCGAGGTGCTTGTCAAAGGCCGAGTAGACTTTGTTGAGAAAGAGACACGACTCGACGGGCTTGAGGGTGGCACTGAGCGCGGTGAAGCCCACCATGTCCGAGTAGAGGAGCGTGACTTCTTCGAGCTCGTCGACAATGGTGCCTTGGAGTAAAAGCGCCTCGGCGTACTGCTGGCTCGGGAGCATGTTTGCAAGCAGTTCCTATATGTATGCATATATTGTCATGCATATAGTCGAATGACAATGTTGTACATACTTCGCATTTGCGCTTCTCGGCGTTGAGCGTGTGTTTGAGTAAAAAGTCCATGCGCAGGCCAATCTCGCGCTTGTAGCAAGCGACTTGGCCAATGCTGAACGAAAAGCCCGTAACGACGAGGTAGCCGACAATGTTGGCAACGCCGGCGCCAATGACCGCGACGAGCACGAGATACACGACAATACTGTGCATATTGCATGAGTCGACAGCAGTCGTAGAAATACGTACTTGAAGATATTGACCAGCATCGCAATCGTAAAGCGAAAGCGGAGGAGGAGACTCCCAGACACAATGTAGATGACGTTGGCGGTGAGGAAATTGCGCGTTGGCTGCAAGAGCAGGTTCAAGTTGAGAAGCGAAATAACGACGACGACCGCGCCCCCCGCGACTTGCTGCATGTGGAGGAGAAAGAACGTGGTGTAGCTATACGCCAAGACGAGCACGAGCACGAGGACAGCCGTGACGTTGAGCGCGAGCACGGACGAGCGTACACTCTCAGAGAGCTCGAGGTTTTTCGCCAGTGTCAGCATCTAATCAAATGCTGGGGACAGTTGGAACACAAGAATTCGCACCTCAAACACAGTGGTCAAGGCGAGGACGACGACACCGACCCGTAGCGCGGCTCGGAATTGGCCCATGTTGTTGATGTTGTACTTGACCATGAATGAGCTCTCCATGTTTGAGGCGTACGCGCCACCGAGTCGCTTGGGAATCTCGACACCGGGCTTGAGCTGGAACGCCAGCGTCATTCGGTGCATTTGGAGGGCGTCGGTGGCGACCGCGGTCGTCGTCGGAGCCAGTTTGGTCGCGTTCACGGACGACATGCGATGCAGCTGTGTGGTGATAGCCCTGTCCTCGGCCACATCGAACGCATCGGAGAGCCCCGCCATGCCGTGACATGGCCGCGCGACCTTGCGGTTGAGCCAGTACAGCATGAGCTCGCCTTTGCCCTTGAGCGCGACTTTGCCGCGGGGCGTAATGTCGTAGCCACCGGACCGCATGAGAAGCTCGTACGTTTGGGCGCTGATTTGGATTTTGCCTGGTAGACACGACGAGCAGACGCGCGACGACGTGTTGACTGTGTCGCCAAAGAGGTGGTAGCTGTACGTTTTGCTGCCAATGACGCCGGCGACCACCGGGCCGCTGTGAATCCCGATCTTGAGGTGGATCTCCTCGCCTTGGCACGTCCAGCGCTCTTGCTGCTGGATGTACATCATCATGAGCGCCATGTCCGCGATGCGCTCGTGATGAAACGGGTCCTTCACGGGCACGCCCGCCGCGCACATGTACGTTTCCGCGATAGCTTCGACCTTGTAGACGCCCCGAGCGTCCGTGGCTTTGTCAAAGCAAAAGAAGATGCGGTTCATAAGCTTCACAAGCTCGATCGCCGGCGTCGTTTTGGACAGCCGGCCAAAGTCACTCACGTAGCAAAAGAGGATCGACACCTAATCCCATACATACGATAAGAAGCAGAGGCGACGAGCGGCGCACCTCGTCGTACTGCTCGGCGAGACCGTCGGTGCGATTCGCCTTGAGATTCTCCTTAATGTGCGCGGGGAGCATGGTCTCGAGGAGGTCGTCGCGCCGCTTGCGGTCGTCGGCGACGTTGTAGCGCAAGACAAATTCGAGCCGAACATGACGTTCGTTGTGGTACGTGGAGACCATACAAAAGGCCGTCAAGACTGGGCCAAATGCGATCTAGCAACATAGACAATGACGAAATGACGATACACAGAACATAGTACCTGCGGGTCCCAGATCGCTGCGTTGGAAGAGTAGATGGTGAAGGGTACTATGAGCATGAGCAGCGTGTGTAGCCACGCACAGAGGCAAGCGGCTCGAAACATGAGCCCGGTCGAGTGAAAGAGCATCGCGATGAAGAGGAGCGACGAGGCTTGGGACCACCGACCCGCGTAGAAAAAGTAGAGCGACGTGTCGTCGCTGCCGTTGGACGCGACTTGCACAACGACGCTCGTGCCAAGCAGGAGAAGGCCGAGGACGAGATAATATGTGACCATCGCGGTATCGAAGCGGAGGCTAAACCACGGCCGGAACGTCAAGTGGCGAAACACGAACGTGAGAGCGATGGCGGCGGCGCGGATGAGAAGGAGCCCGGTTTGGGCCGCGTGGTTGGTCGTGTACCCAAAGCTGAACTCGACGACGCCCATGAGAAGGTGCAATACGATCGAAAAGATGCAAGCGCTGCGCACCTTCCCGAGCACATAGTGTCGGTAATGACGGCAAAAGATGTCTTCTAAATGGAGGTTGGCGAACCGAAGCGAGTAGCGGTGCATGGTCCCCGAGTAGCCGGGCTGGCCCGCGCCGCCGAGGTAGCTCGGCGTGACCTTGGACGACTCGATGAGCCGACGCGACCGACTGCCGTTCTCGGTGGAGACTTTGGACTTGCGCTGCGACGCCAACTCGACGCGGTGGTCGAGGAAGCTACGCCGTTTGAGCGGGTTGCTCTGGTCGAGTCGAACGGTGGTCACTGGCAGTGCCAAGGACTCTGTCAGCGGTGTCGCGTCGCTCAGCCGGCGATCGGACGGCGTCGTCGTGAGCCGTCGCGGCGGCAGAGTCGGAAGACGCGTCTTGTCCTCCATCAGTGTCGCTTCGCGCCACGGCGCCGGTGTCTAAAAGTGGTAGTACTCGGGTTTTGCCGTTGCTGTGAAACCCCTCGCGACCTTTCTACGCCCAAGCGCGCGTACGCAATCACAGTAACCACACGGCTCATAAAACGATCACGTTGGCGCTGCTGCGGCGTGTGGCGTTGTCGATGTCTCGTGGAGATACTCTAATTCGAGCCAAGAGACCACCTCGTTCAATGAGAGTCGCCATTCCTTCCGAACTAGTGTCCGTCTCCCTCAGTCTCCCTGTGCAATCAGAGCCATCACCCAAGGTTTATGGATGTCGTATTGTGTTTGTGTTCAAGCTGGCAAAGCTCGTGCGACGTGTCCTCCAAAGTAGAGCTACGCTTGAAGCCAAACGCGAAGCTACTTACCGCTTGATCATCGGGCTTGTTGCGTCGTTCCTATGTCCGCCGGCTCGAAACTGGTGATACCACGCGCTGTCGTTGGAAGAAGCTTGAGCTAGAACGACGATAGCGGGGTTGCATTGAGACAGAATACTCAGGACAGTCGTAGATGTATATGGCTAGGCTACAGCTTTAAGACACCGGTGCGTACACCGCTGATGTAATTAGGCAGCTCGAGTACGGGGCACGACGCCGAGGACGGCAGCGCCCGCATCTTGTCGGCGCGCGTTCGCTGCACGTCGATCCACGTCGTGCGTGTTGCCTTGTCAAACGCAACGGTCGGTGGCGACACGGCTTTGGTCGTGCGCTTCCACGTGTCCAATGGCGCGAGCTCGTTCGTTTGGCCTTCCGACGTCTCGTCGTCGACGTGCGGCCGGTACGACGCGCGGTGCCCCGGGCTCGGTGGCAGCGACGGGTACTTCTTGACGCTCCGCGCTTTCTCCCACGCCGCCGTGACGCTCTCGTAGGCGCCAGGCCCAACGCGGTCCGTCGTACTTTGGTGGTCCACAAAGCGCTTGGTCGAGTTCCACAGCGTCGAGCCCGACAGCGAATCTACGATCCACTCGACTAACGCCACCAACCACATAATGATGCAAAGCAGTAAATCGTACGGTGCACGCGGTAGCCGAGTGTGTGTTTGCCCGTGTCGTAGATGCAGTCGAGTGTCGGCGCGTACATTGCGCCACTCTTGACATCAAGCTTGGGGGTGGAGCCCATGATGGGACCCCGCGTCGCCCAGCGCTTGGCGCTGTCTGCGGCCAAGTCGCGTGGCACGACGTACTCGTGCTGTTCGGGCACGAGGAGCTTGTCGCTAAACACAGTCGGTCGGAATGGTGCGTACGTATGCCGGCTCTTTCGCCGGCGCACCGTCGGCGCGACGGCTGTCGTGATCGGTGCGCTCGTGTGGCCCACGGGCGGCACGTGGTGCGCCGGCTTAAGCAGGGCCTTCTGCACCGGCAACGGCGACGTCGTCGCGCGAACGCGGCTCGGTGCTGTGAGGGGCATCGTGAAGCTTGAAGCGTGGCACGGCGCCGGTTGCTGTGCCGATATCGCGCGCCGGTCCATGCGAGGTGCACCTATTTTTACCTGCTGCTGTGTTCTTATTTCAATGCAACAATCAGGGCACTCTGGTCGACGCCAGCTGGAGGAACCCGCACATCAACGCAATCTCACCGTACCAAGTCGCAGCTCGGAGCTCCGAGGACCGCGTTGGCAGGTGTCGCGAAGCCAGACGCACCAAGTACCATAGAATCGACAGCACGTAAATGCAAAGAACTGTACACACATTGCCATTGTAGTATAGGCTGCATCGAAACACCAACTGCCTCGACTCGGCTATCGCTGCAAGTGTCGTCGGCCTTAGCGTCGGCGCAAAAAGCCGATCGGGTGGTCGGTCGACCCGTGCGTGGCCAAGTCGCTGAGGATTTCTCCGATCACGGGAGCAAACTTGTATCCGTGGCCTGAGAACCCGGCGGCAAAGACGACGTTGGGGTGTGCCGGATGGGCATCAATGATGAAATGACCGTCTTTGGACATGGTGTACATGCACACCGCCGACGTCGTTGGAGCCGGCAGCAGGTCGGGAAAGCACGTGGTGACGCACTCGGCGACAGGATCGAGCTCGCCGGGAAGCACGCTTGGATGCAGCGACGACGGGTCGTCCAGGACAGCGCCAGGCAGGTGCGGCGCGATCTTGACGCCGTCGCCGTCCACGTACGGAAAACCGTACACAAACCCACAGGGCAGATCGATGGCGAAGCAGGGCATGTTGGGCGTCGCAGCGAGCGCTCGACCACGCTCCGTCGGCGCCGGCGCAAACCAAAATAGCGGCACGCGGTGCACCTTGAGGTCGAGCGATGCGGAGCGCAGCATCGACGACGACCACGCACCGGTCGTCACCACGAGCTTGGCCGCCGTGTACGTCCCCGACGCCGTGCGAACCGACACGGCGTTTTCCGAGATGACGTCCCACGAAAGCACGGCCTCGTTGAAGCGGAGGTCGGCATCGAGCTTGCGTGCCAGCTCAATGTGCGCGTTGACGCTGGCCTCGACCTCGACGTAGCCGGCGTCCGCCTCAAAGAGCCCGATGTAGCCTTCGGGCACGTGAAAGTACGGGAAACGCGCATGGCATGCGTCGCGCGAAAGCACTTCGAGGGGCAGGTCGTGCTCCTCGGCGGACGCTTGGACGCCGGCGAGGACATTGATGTCGTCCGCATTGGTCTTGGTTTCCGGACCAAAGATGACGACGCCAGACCGGTGGAAGAGTGGCCGGCCTACCGACGCGCCAAGCTTGTCCCATAGCTCGTAGCTGCGGCGAAGCAGCGGTACGTAGTCGGGGTGTTCAAAGTACGCCTTCCGCACCATGCGCGTCTTGCCGTGGGAGCTGCCGCGGTTGTGCGCGGGCCCAAACTGCTCGAGACCGAGCACGCGCTGACCGCGCTTGGCCAAGTGGTAGCACGCGCTGCTGCCCATGGCGCCGACACCAAGCACGATCACATCATAGTCGGTCGTCGTCGTCGTCATCGGACCCTTTTCAATTGCGCACTGCCGACCCCAGCCGTGTCAAAGTGCAACTTCATTTCAGCCAATCAGCGAGGCGCAAACGAAGGCTAAAATCACGTTTCTTTAGCCACCAGCAAGAGAAGTCGCGGATGACGTCGCCGACCACCACGTCTTCCTTCGCACAATCAGCTACGCACCGCCGATGCAACACGGTACGAAGATGCGTAGGATCATGCGCTTCGCGGCTGTACATACCTAGTCAAAGGCGAAAGTGAGGCAATCTCGAGCATGTTGGGTGGTTTTAGCCGTTGCGACGAGGGCACCACGGAGCATTCTCGAAGGGTCACACCATGGAGGCGCTGCTGGAGGCACGGGCCGCGTGCTTGGATGCGCTCGAGAGCACCAAAGCGCTGATTTCAAAGAGCGAGGGCGAGCCCAACGGGTACGATGCCGCGTACTTTCTTCAGGCCCACGACGACGAAGACGATGACGTGCTCAACGCCGGGCTCTTGTACACTCCAAGCGGCCGGCTCAGCGCCCTTGGCGTCGCCAAATGCACGACACTCTTCCACGCATTCGATACCGACCACAATGGCTTCATGTCATACGAAGAGTTCATCGACTACCTCACGTCGCTCGGTCGGTCGACGCCATCGTCCAAGGTCCGTGCACGCGCCACGTCATTTTTGAACGCGGTCTAGGACCCGCTGTGCGACGTGGTTGACAACATCGAGTCGTGGAAGATGTACATGAGCGACGCGTATAACACGACCGCCGACGGCGACTTGACCATCAAGGTCTCCTCTCCGTGAGACGCATAATACGTCACTGATGGCACGTAGGGCTTTCTGCTGTACCGCGAGGCAACCGAGCACCTCTACCCCTTGGCCGCCGACTTGACGTACTTTGGTCTTCCGTGGATTGACGACGGTCTCGTTCGCCACATGCATCTTTTGGCCACCTTTGCAGCGTACGACACGGCGACGCTGGGTACGTCCGTAGCACTGTCGACGAGGATCGCATGTCGACGCGTAGGAAAGCTGCCCATGGCGCAGCTGCCCTACTTGCTCGCCGACGCCGGCATTCTCGCCTCACGACGCGCTGTCGACAGCGTCGTGCGGCTCATGCGCGTGTACGCCGAGTGCATGGAGTGCATTTTGCAGCGCAACCGCGCGATTCGGCTCTTTGGCTACAAGCAGATGTCCCGCGTTCGGTTGAGCGACTGCATGACGTTCATCTACCGCGACGCGTTTGTGGCGCTGGCGCTCTCGAGCTACGCACCACCGATGCTCTCGGTGCGACCACATGGAGGAATGGCGCCTGCACAGCTACGATGGGTGTAGAGCTGGTCGCAGGCCGTCTTGACGCTGCAACGACGAACGTACACTGTGCTGCGCCGTATGCACGCATCGCTTCAGTCGCTACGCACCTACGTCCAGCGAGCTGCACGCACGGGCCTCCTTCAGCGTACTACGTCGTACCAATCATCGCTTGTCGTTGACCTTATACACCCAGTCGGTCGCCTCTTGCCCACGACGTATGGCGAGTATACGCTCAAGCTCGATGTTGGCAACCCCGAGTTTGCCACATCTGCAGAAATCCAAATCTCCTTTACGACCGAAGTCGACTGTACCCACTGGCGTGGCGACTCCATGGCGCATACCTCTCTGTCTAGCGTCTGCCACATTGCACAAGCTCGGCTACCGCCACGACGGCGCCGAGTGCTATCTCTACTTCGACTTTGTCGCCCGCAGCGATATCTCGGGTGCGACTGTAAACCTTGTAGATATCAGAGACGATGTCTGTAGACGAGGCTTTGGCCGAGACGGCGCGTGCGATGGAGTCGATCGTCGACGACCTCTTCCATGACCACTTTGCCTCTATGCCGTACTACCATAGCACGCTGGGTGCGCGCCACGACCATTTCTCCAAGCGCTGACGCATGGCACCGTAGTCGTGACACCGTCGCGGCTCGAGACGCACGGCTCCCCTGTCGTCCGCGTCGTCCTCCTCTTCACCGACGCGCTCGATCCGTTCAATGTGTTTGTGGACGCGGACTTGCCGTCGATGCTCCAAGTACACAACCTCGTCTCGTCGTTCGAGGTGCATGTGGCGCTCAATGTCTCGGTGCGCGATCTGCTCACCAACAAGCGCTTCAACGTGCTCGAGCACCTTGGGCTGCGCGCGTTTGCGTCGTCGCGGCTCGGCCGGCAGTCGGTTGCGCAGATTCTCGAGGTCGCTTTGGTTCAACCTCCTTCTTTGACCAAAATGGATGTAGCAAGTCCTACGGCACAGCCAGTACGAGGCCGAGGCGACCGCGGCGGCAAGCGCCCATTTGGCGCGTGAAAAAGCCACGTTCAAGAAGCCCAATAGTCGCCGATCGACGGTGACAGCCACGACCTGGCGAGACCAAGTCGCCATGGCCAACGCGGCCGCGCGACACCGGCTCTGGTCTGCAATGCAGTACCTTGTCTCGGTCGTCGCCTACTCCAAAGTACTGCACTACGTGGCACGTCGACGGACGTTTGACGGTCACTCTATCGTAGACGGCGAGCTGGAACTGGGCGTTTCCGACGCTACAGCCGCTCTTTGCTCCGCAGAGCGTATTGAAGAAGCTCTTGCCGATCCCCGTCTTTGACAAGGTACGCAATGGTGCACGCGCACAGCGACTGTCAGTGCGACTAGTGGCGCACGGTTCTGGGCACGACGGGGCAGCTGGCCAAACTGTGGCGCCACGCCGTGACTGCGCTACAAGGCGACCTGCAGACTATGGTCCGCGAGGCGCCGCCGCCGACCGATGCAGCAACAGCGCTCGATACGTACGCGGTCGTCGTGACCAACCTCCTGGGCCTCAACGCCGTGCAGGCGCAAGCTGGGTCGATGGGCATGGACATGCTCTTCGAAGGCTTCGATTGGATCCCGCTACTTCCCAAACCCTAACCACAAATCCAGCACATCCCCAACGACAATTGACTAGAAAACGCTAGCGCCGATTCTAGGTCCAGGTGCTTATATATGTTATCGTACAATATTGATACCTTCCTACATAGCTATGACTCACTCTTCCATCGAGTCCCAGCTCGTGCGCGTCAAGCGCGACGGGCCGCGGCCACTGCTGTCGTGGAACGACAAGGATATTTCCGAGTGCAGACTCTCGCTGCCATAACTCGACTCGGGTTGTTGCTCTTGTGGTGGCGGTGGCGCCGGAAGCGACGCCTGGTACCACTCGTTGGTGCGCATCTCGGGCGGCACGTCGTCTTGCGCTTCGCTGCGGCGCGCCCAGCGTGGCTGCAGCGGCGCAAACGAGGTCGCCTTTGGCATGGTCGTGCCGTCCATAAAATACTCGACGCCCCGCGTCGCACCGAGCGACTCGCTCGGCTGGTATGTCCAGTTGGACATGGAGGTGGTCGCCGGTGGCAGTGCCGGCGATGTGTTGTTGGTCCACGAGACGGCCGTGAGACTCCGCACGTTGCGCTCCCGCCGACGACGGCGGTGGTCGTTGTACAAGAGCATCGCGGCAAGCACGACGACGGCCGCGCCACAAATGAGCGCCGCGACCAAGCTCGGGCTCAGACCGTCGCTTTTTGTACCTACTCCGAGCGATGCACTATGAGCCGTCGACATTAGTGCTCGTGGATCCTACCTGGCGCCGTGTTGATCGCCGGTCGGGACGTCCACGTCGGTGACGGCAAACTCGAGGGCGGAGGCGTCGTTGTTGTGTCCAAGTCCGCGTCGGGCGCTACAATCAAGATCGACGGCACCGGGACACGTGTCATGACCACGGCAGTCGTCGGCGGCGGCGATGCTGTACGGGTCGGCCTCGATGTGGTTGTATTTGTCGGCCTTGGCGACGTCGTGGGCGAATCCGTCGGCGTATCCGTGGGCGTCGGTGTTGGCGCGGGTGTCGGTGCAGGTGTCGGTGTCGGTGCGGGTGTCGGTGTTGGCGCCGGCGTTGGCGTCGGTGTTGGCGCGGCATCCGGTGATACCGTGCGCGTCTCGTCGGTCGACGGCATGTCCGTGGCCGTGGCCTCGGGGGTTGGCGCCGGCACCTCGGGTGGTGTCGCGTCGGGGCGCTTCGTTCGCGGAATGATCGTGATGATCAGCGATTGGATGTTGCCAGACGTACCACCTGCCGGCGCTTGCAACGCGCGCCCGTGCGGATGCATGTCGAGTCGTCAAGTGCCATGTCCGTGGCGCAGGAATCCACGGCAGTTGACCCTTTTATCCCAGCGCCCCTTCTCTCCTGACGCCCATCAACCGCCCGAGTAGCCGTCCATCAACAGGTCCATCAAAGTGAGATAAGTGGGCCAGTCAGTTGAAGACACGACAACTGCTACAACAAGTACTGCTTGCGACGCTCCACTTATTGCCGGAGATGGGTCACCAGCTGCCATCGGCGAACGAGACGCCGGCGACCATATCGCAGTCGTCTGCCGGAGCGGCTCGACGCGCATTCGGCCATTCGACCATGGCATTGCAAGCTCCGCGGTGGAATCACGCGGGCTGGTGGACGGACTGTGACTGCGCCGATAAGGGCCATTGCACCCACACGGCGTCGCCCACCGCAGGAGGTTGGTCACGCTGTTACGCGAGCCAGCGCTGCCTATGCTACGCGCGCGTCGATGAATAATATTATGCAAGCCGCCAGCGTAAACCTGCGACACCATTAACCAGTCGGTATTTTATTAATCATCTTGGCGCGCCGTCTGAGAACAAGGTCGTGCCAGCTGGTGCGCTACATGCAGCCAAGGCCGACTCCATTCCAGTATTGACGCAGGCCAGTACTCCACCCTCCATGCGGGTCTTCTCTTCGTTCGCTGCGCTTCTCGCCGTGGCTGTTGCTGCCACCGCCGATGGTATGCAGCGCTCGCTGGGTGTCGCGATATCTCATTGTCGTGATAGAGAGCGTCATCTCGCTCCGTGGCCTTCAAGCCAACAACGTGACGACGACCACGCCGGTGACGACGACCGTGACGCCGTCGCCGACGCCGACGGAAACGACAGTCGCCCCGACCACAGCGCCGGTGACCACGGTGCCGGTGACAACGACGCCGGCGGTGACGTCATCGGCGGTTCCGACGACCACGGTCCCGACATCGACGCAGCCGACGCAGACACCGACGCCGACGCAGCCCAACCAACCGACGCAGGCGCCGCAGCCTACGCAGTCCCAGGCGACGCCCGCGCCAACGTCAGAGTCGTCCTTGGGCACAGGCCCCCCGCGCACGCCCAAGCCGACGACGAAGAGTCCGACGCCCGTGTCGAATGATTCGGGTGACTCGGGCATCAGCTCGGGCGCGGTCATTGGTATCGTTGTTGGCATCGTTTGCGGTGTCGGTGTCCTCGCTGGCCTCGTGTACATGTGCGTCAAGAAGAAGCACGACGACGACGACGACCTCCTCTCGCCCAACGACTTTAACGCCAAGGACGTGACGCCCGTGTACAACAACAACACCAAGCCGATGACGCCAGTGCAGCCGGCGTATGCACCGGCGACGACCGCGACGGCGACCACCGGCAACAGCTACGCCTACTCGAACGACTATGCGGCCGCTCCGTACCAGCAGCCGACGGCCCCGGCAGCGATCGCGGCCGCCGCCGCCGCGCAACACCAGCCGTACGCCGACATGTACGGGCAGACGTCGCCGCAAGAGTTTTACGACCGGGAGTCGGCGACCTCGAGCGAGCCGAGCAACCACAGCGGCAAGAACGCGTGGATGCAAGCGATGCAAAAACCCAACTACGATTCGGACGGCGTCGACATTGACCGGCTCGACACCAACAGCTACAACAGCGCCAAGTTTGACGACTCGGGCAGCGACGTGAGCCGCGACAGCAGCTTTCTGAGCCGCGACGAGAGTCTCGGGTCGAGCGTCGACGACTTTCCGTCGCACCGTGGCACCAAGCAAGAGCGTGGCTCCTACGAATTGTAAAAGGGTCGCCGAATGCAGGCGGCTTTTTCCCTATTTTATCGAATCAACTACACCATGTCTTCTCCTCCTGTCCCGTCGCGACGACAACCACTTCAAAAGAATGTATTAATACACCTGGCGGCGTCGGCGTGGTCCGACCAGAATCGCACCGTGCGTGCGCCGGAGCTGCGCGCCGTGAGTAGCTAGTAACGTCAAGTGGCCCGTCCACTTGCAGACCACTGTGGTGAGAGCTCATCTGTGCCCGGAACCAAGCATTCTGAAGCGAACCACTACTAGCCTTGCCGACAGCGCCGCCCGCAGCCGCAAGTTCGTCCAACGACAGGCCCTTCATCATTCTCATCTCTCCATCGACCGCGAGTAATGGCGCGCGAGACAGCACCCAGGAGACATGGTCGACCTGGCATTACGCGCAGGCGCCAATGCAAACTCGATTGAATGGCCCTCGCGCCTTGGTCAGCGCAAGCACAAGCGGGCCGTCAGCAGCAGCTCGGGCCGTCCTGCTGCCAGGTCGTGACCGCCGGTCCCTCTGCTCGGCGCCACAGGTGTACGTGGCGTCACGTCGTTCGTGCTCGGGTGTTTTTTTATCGCCAACTTCCGAGGTCGTATACAAACACCAAGTCACTGAGTAAAAAAACTGGCCTCACGTTGGCGGCAACATCCAGCCGGATATAAAATATTGCTCCCGTGGCCTGTCCACGGCCTTGCTCCGGTGCCAGTTCATCATCATACCGGGAGTCCCCTTGCGCCGCGACGGGCAGACTGAATTGCAATCCCGCAGCATGAACTACTTGCAGCGCCTCGTGCTCCTGGCGATCGTCATGGTCGTGGCGGCGACGACGAACAGCAGCGTGACCGAGGTTTTGCCGCCGACCACGAGTGTGCGGCAGCTGGACGGAGGCAGTAATGGGACGACCACGGATCCGCCGACGCCGGCCCCAACGCCGGCCCCAACGCCCGCGCCTACTCCTGCGCCAACGCCTGCGCCGACACCAGCCCCGACACCGGCGCCGACACCCGCGCCTACTCCTGCGCCAACGCCTGCGCCGACACCAGCCCCAACGCCGGCGCCGACGCCCGCGCCTACTCCAGCACCAACGCCTGCGCCGACACCCGCACCAACACCGGCGCCGACGCCAGAGCCGACCCCATCACCCTCAACCTCCCCGCCGACGACCATAACACCTGCGCCGACAACGGTGACTCCAGAACCGTCAACATCGTCCGCACCGACCACAACGCCCGCAGAAACGAGTGCGCCACCGACCGAGGTCCCGACACCGACACCAAGCCTCCGCGCAACGTCTGACCTCAACCAAGCCACCAGTGCGCCGCCTGTCTCGTCGGCCTCCGGATCCGACAACAAGACCAGCAGCATGCTCTGGGTCATTCTTGTCGGTAGTTTTGCGGCGCTTCTTCTTTGCTTCCTTGTCATCTTTATCGGCATTCGCCGGGCGGCGGCCCGCGCCGCCGATGGCGACGACGACCACATCTCGGCCGCGTCGTACGCGCACAAGTACCCCGGGCGGCCGACCGGCGACCTCGGCGACGACAACGAGCCGCTCGACACGTCGCGCCTCGGGCCGCACGTTGCACTCTTCTCGCCGTCCGGGAGCCAGTCGACGGCGACGCCGTACTACCAAATGCCCGCACCGCCAACCCACTCGTTTAGCAGCTCGTCCAACGCCCGGCCGTCGACCGTGGTGCCGCCGCCGCCGGCGCCGATCGCCGCGCTCGCATCGCCACGCTACTCGGCCCATAGCTTCCACACGCCGTCCGTCGAGTACTCGCCGTCGGCCAAGTCGACCGGCTCGTCGACGATGCACGACAACCTGTGGCAGTCGGCGATGGAGTCGTCGGTGCTGGTGACGCCGGTCAACAACAGCAACGCGGCGGTGCGGAGCACGTGGCACGACGACTCGTCGTTTGAAGATTCAAGCTCGGACACTGTCCGGTCGCGCATCTCGAGCTTCACCGGCAGCGACGACAGCGACTCGTTTCAGACCGACTCGTTCATGACGTCGTCCGACCCGCAGAGCTCGTCGTTCCATACGCAGTCGTTCCACACAGCGCCGACGACCAACAGCAGCCTCAGCCCCTCGTCCCGACCGCGGACCACCAGCGCCGTGCAGTAACGACGCCCGTGGCTATGTCGTCGTTGCTGTCCTTGTCGTTGTTGTCGGCGTCTGCAAGTCGTAGAATTATCTATCCCCACCCTCTTGTAAACAACCTCCTCCTTGTACCGATAGCTCTCGTTGCTTAACGTGTCGAGACACGTGGCCATCGCTGTGCTCACAGAGCTGCTGGCTGCTTGGCTCGCCGCGGGTTACCTGAACAGCACTTGCTGCTCGCTCGAATGAGCTCGCTCGATCGGCCAATGGCTCGATGCAGCGCAGAGCGGCTGCCACGCGTCCGCTTGCCGAAGCCAAGCTCAAGTGGATACCTTCAAGGCGCACGAGGCCCAGATGGCTAAAGTGCCGGTGGTCGTTCCGAGCGGGCGTCAGCGCTCGTGGCCGACGATCGCTACATGCGGCGACGATGCTCCATGCTGCCTGCGTGGCGGCGTGGCCGGGCGCCTTGGGTGACTCGCATCTTCACGTACCTACTCAGATTGCCGCCTGCCAATCGTGGACCAGTCGCGCACGGGCGGCGTCGTACAGTAGCACGCTGGCGCACCTCGATTGGCCGCGACTTGTTTAGTCAGTCCAGAGTCCGAAATGAAATTGAAATCAGGCGCGATTGATGTGGCGCCTCCTTTCTTTGTGACCCCCCCTGGTGAGCCGCCGCGCTTGCTGTCGAGCACGTGACCTTGTTGGGATCCGTTCATACCAGCGTCGTTGGCGCCGACGATAATGCATCCCGGGATCTCAAGCTGGTAGCTGAGCCAACTCTAAGTTAGAGTTAGCTGGAGTCTTTAACTAGTTATTGCAGCCATGACATTGTATGATCTTGACAGCCAACAGTTGAAACGTACCCACCCCCATGGCAGCCAACGCGATGTAGGGAGGGTCCAAGCCACAAATGCGACCAAGAGCTCAGCCAAGAGGAGGCGAAGATCGTGGTGTTCTTGCTTGTCGGAAGTCGAATCAAAGAAGTGCTTTCGAAGCAGCTTCAAGGTGGCGAGCAACATCTGCGGGGTCGCCTGGGTGTTGTACCTGATTCGGGGCCCCACCACCGCACAGCAGCAGCTCCTACCAGCTGACCAGCAGCTAGATGGAGTCGCCATCCATCGCCTCATCCGTGAGGACATGTCGTCGGTTGGGCTTGGTGTCGCCTTGACTCGATGGAGACGGCAACTCGGCTTCAACTTGGAGCGGCGCTTCGATATTTTCTTCGGGGGACTTCCTGTGAGAAGGTGACCAGGGGGCCCACCCTCCCGGCTGACCTACTTTGGGATCCTAATTAGGATCGCCAGCTGTTCCACCTTCAAGTTGCGAGACAGGCCAATGAGCTGTGGCGAGGGATTTCCTTTCAATTAAATAGCGATATCCGGATAACCATACAAAATGGCCGCAAATCTTTTGGTGCCGTATCCGGATCCATTTCCAAGATATCACGGGCGCTCACTTTAGCATTTCGTTCGTCGGGAGGATGCTGCGCTCCGTCAAGACGCTCCGCGTCCATGCGTCCCTGGTGCGTTGAGGAAGATGGAGAAGGAAGCGGAGGTTGACGCTCTGTATGTGTAGACCAAGGTCAACGCGGCCCGCGCGTTCTCGGCCGCGAAGGATCCGTACCGCCTCACGGACCAGTTTGCGCGTCGCCACATTGGCGCGAGCGAGGACGACACGGCGTTCATGCTCAACACGATCGGCGAGAAGTCGCTCGAGGCGCTCATCAAGAAGACGGTGCCCAAGGAGATCCGCCTCAAGAAGAAGCTCAACCTCCCCGCGCCCATGTCGGAGAGCCAGGCCATGGCCAAGCTCCGCAAGATCGCCAAGAAGAACAAGACGTATAAGTCGTTCATTGGTACGGGCTTCAACGACTGCTTGACGCCGTTCGCGATCAAGCGCAACTTGCTCGAGAACCCGGGCTGGTACACGGCCTACACGCCGTACCAGGCCGAGGTGTCCCAAGGCCGCCTCGAGATGCTCCTCAACTTCCAGACGATGCTCAGCGACCTCACGGGCTTCCCGATCGCTGGTGCGTCTCTCCTCGACGAGGGCACGGCGGCCGCCGAGGCCATGGCGCTCTGCCACGGCGCCGCGAACGGCAAGCGCACCAAGTTCTTTGTCGCGTCCGACTGCCACCCGCAGACGATCGCGGTCCTTAAGACGCGTGCCGAAGGGTTTGGCATCGAGCTCGTCTTTGGCAACGCGCTCACGGACGCCGACTTTTCGAGCGGTGACTTCAGCGGTACCTTGATCCAGTACCCCAACACGTACGGTTCGGTGGCCGACTATGAAGCGTTTACGACGGCCGCGCACGCCAACGGCACGATGGTCATCGTCGCGACGGACCTTCTTGCGCTCACGCAGCTCAAGCCGCCGGCCGAGTTTGGCGCCGACATTGCCGTCGGGTCGGCCCAGCGCTTTGGCGTGCCCCTCTTCTTTGGTGGTCCCCACGCCGGCTTCATTGCGACGACGGAGAAGCACCACCGCAAGCTGCCCGGCCGCATCATTGGTGTCTCCAAGGACTCGCGCGGTGAGCGCGCGCTCCGCATGGCCATGCAGACGCGCGAGCAGCACATTCGCCGCGACAAGGCGACGAGCAACATTTGCACGGCGCAGGCGCTCCTCGCCAACATCGCCGCCAGCTACGCCATCTACCACGGCCCGGACGGTCTTCGCCGCATCGCGACGCGCGCCAACTTGATGGCGTCGACGCTTATCGCGGGTTTGAGCGAGCTCGCACCCGGCGTCAAGCTCGTCAACTCGCACTTTTTCGATACGATCGAGCTCGACGTTTCGGGGGCGGGTCTCAGTGGCGCCGAGGTGCAGTCGCGGGCGAACGCCAAGGAGATCAACGTGCGCGTCATCAGCGAGTCGCGCGTCGGCGTTGCCTTTGGTGAGAGCGCCGACGTCAAGGACATTGCCAAGCTCTTGTATGCGTTTGGCGTCAACGACTCGGTGAGCGACTCGGCCGTGTACGGGCTTGGCGAGAAGGCCGCGGGTATCCAGGCGTCGAGCATCCCGGCGTCGCTGCGCCGGTCGACGCCGTTCTTGGAGCACCGCATCTTCAACTCGAAGCACTCGGAGACGGAGCTCATGCGGTACCTCAAGACGCTCGAGGACAAGGATCTCTCGCTCAACACATCGATGATCTCGCTCGGGTCGTGCACGATGAAGCTCAACTCTGTCGCGGAGCTCGAGCCGGTGTCGTGGAATGAGTTTATGAACGTGCACCCGTTCGCGCCTGTCGAACAAACGAAGGGGTACCTCGAGATGATTGAGGGCCTGCACAAGGCGCTTGCCGAGATCACGGGCTTTGCCGCGGTCTCGTCGCAGCCCAACTCGGGCGCGCAGGGCGAGTACGCGGGTCTTCTCGCGATCCGGTCGTACCAAAAGTCGATTGGCGAGGGCCACCGCAACGTGTGCTTGATCCCGGTCTCGGCCCACGGCACGAACCCTGCGAGTGCCGTCATGGCCGGCATGAAGGTCGTCGTCATCAAGTCGGACGCGGCCGGCAACATTGACCGCGCCGACCTCGAGGAGAAGGCCAAGAAGCACGCGCACGAGCTCAGCGCGCTCATGATCACGTACCCCTCGACCTTTGGCGTGTTTGAGGAAGGCGTCAAGGAGATGGTCCAGCTCATCCACGACAACGGCGGCCAGGTGTACATGGACGGCGCCAACATGAACGCGCAGGTTGCGCTCACCAACCCCGGCAGCATTGGTGCGGACGTGTGCCACCTCAACTTGCACAAGACGTTCTGCATTCCCCACGGCGGTGGCGGTCCCGGGGTCGGCTCGATCGGCGTCGCGCACCACCTCGCGCCGTTTTTGCCGGGCAACCCGATCACGGTCACGGGCGGCGAGGGCGACAACGTGGTCGCCAAGGACAACCTCTCGGTGAGCTCGGGTCCGTTCGGCTCGGCCGGCATCCTCCCGATCTCGTGGATGTACATTCACATGCTCGGCGAAGAAGGCCTGAAGAAGGCGACGTCGCATGCGATTTTGCACGCCAACTACATGGCCAAGGTGCTCGAGTCGCACTACGACATTGTGTTCCGCGGCTCCAACGGCACGTGCGCGCACGAGTTTATCATTGACATTCGCCCGTTCAAGTCGCACGGGATCGTCGAGGAAGATGTCGCGAAGCGCCTCCAGGACTATGGCTTCCACAGCCCGACCATGTCGTGGCCCGTGCCCGGCACGCTCATGATTGAGCCGACGGAGAGCGAGAACCTCTCGGAGATGAACCGCTTCTGCCAGGCCATGATCCTCATCCGCAAGGAGATTGACGACATTGCCGCTGGCAAGATCGCGGCCGAAGACTCGCCGCTCAAGCACGCGCCGCACACGATTGACGTCGTGACGACCGAGACGTGGGACCGCAAGTACTCGCGCGCTGAGGCGGCGTTCCCTGCGCCGTGGCACAACGGCGGCAAGACCAAGGCGTACTGGCCGACCGTCGGCCGCGTCGACAACGTCTTTGGTGACCGCAACCTCGTCTGCTCGTGCCCGCCCATGGACGTCTACCTCGAAGAGTAAGTCTCTTCCGTGGAGGCCTCCGAAAAGCCAGCCGTAGTAGCACTCGTGTGTGAATACAGTAATTGTGCGTTGACATGCATCTCTTCATCATGCTGGTTGACATGTTGCCATTGTGTTTCGACACCGGCAGCTACGACAACGCCCGCGACGTCCGTGCTTGCGTGAAGCGAGCCCGCGTCGAGCTTTCTTCGTCGAGCAGCGCCTGCCAGAGCGCATCTGTCTTGGCGCTGGGCCGTGGCGGCGCTTGTCGCTGCCGAGTGCTCTGCAAGCCGATTTTTCTCTTGTGCGATTTGGTCTTTTGAACAATTGTCGGCAGTGCGATTTCCGCTGCTTGGAGCTCGTGCCACGCAGCTTCGGACGCAGCGCTCTGCACCGGCGTCGCCGCCAGGGAACACTCGCGGACGAGACTCGCCATCGCCTCGTCGACCTTGCTCGACGACGCTTTCTTCGCCCGCGCTGTTTGTGCGGATGGCGCTGGCGGCGGCAGCGGCGCGACCGACGGGATCGCCTCACCCGACGCGATCGCAGCGAGCATCTTGGCCTGGAACGATGGGTCAAAGAGACCGTTGGCCGTCACAGCCGCGATCTGGATACGGACGCGGTCGAGATCGGCGAGCGCCTGCGGGTGTCCCGGCTCGAGCGCAATGATGGCTTCGAGGTCGATCTTGGCGTCCTACACGAGCACGGCTGCCGGAAGCGTCACACGATATGTGATCCTACCTGCCATTGCTGCAAGCCTTGCCGCGCAGAGGCGCGCCGATACAAAGCTTTGACATTGGCCTTCTCGTTCGAGAGCACGGCCGAGCAGTCGGCGACGGCTTGGTGGAGCGCGTCGGGCGTGGCGAGCTGGAGCCACGCGAACGCTCGGTTGCAGAGGATGGCGCTTGTCCCGGCTTGGTCGCCGTCCATTTTGAGCGCTTCGTTGTAGGCGGCGATGGCGTCGGCGTAGGCGGCGGTCTGGACGCACGCGTTGCCCCGCGCCTTCCATGCGTCTCGGTCCATGCTGCTCGCGTCGGTTCCCAAAAGATTTGCTTGGCTTCGCGTACCCTAGGCTTTGAAACGCGGACAAAGCCTGGATTAAAGACGCTTCGTTTCGGAACTTTTTTGCGTTGACTTATAAAATGTATGGTCATCGATTGGCAGCGTCTAGGACGAGGACCGTAGCCCAACCCAGTACTGACACCCGGACAACCTAGCTATTTATTGCACTCTTATTGACCCTGCCCTTAGACAAATAGAAATGTCACGCTGGGCTTCGAAGAGTGCGACTTTGCGGGACTCGAACCCGCGACAATGCATGTGCAGTCGTGGCCGCTAATCGGCTCGGCAAAATGCTTTGCTTATTATACCACTGTAGTTTTAATATAGCCTATTTTACAATTGCTAGTGCAAATTATTGTTTTTGCTAGCCCACCAGTCTACATTTATGGTGACTAGTTATCGCACTTGCTGATCAGTCCGCTGACGAGTGGCGTCGTGCTCAACCCGTCGTGTCGTGGGAACCGAGCGTGTACACTTAGAAATCATTTTTAACCTCTACACAAACTAAGTACTTAGTACCTGTACTCTCTTCGATTCACAAATTATCCCTTTTTCATGCCCACAAAATCAAACACCCTACTTTCACACTCAACTAATTCCCTAACCTTACACCACCAAAGCGTCTTTCAAACTCGCCGCTCCTTGGTGCGACTGCTAGCATGATGTGATAGTCGCACCTCCGTGGGGATGTACGAGTACCCTTGTAAGTGTACAAGGATATAGCTAGCAGCCTCCATCTATGGACTCTTGGTGAGAAGCCTGTCGACGAGCTTCCCAGGGACGAACGCGCGCACACAAACTCGACCGCCCCCGTACCTTTTCCCCATTCAGACAGTGCTTGATGCAGGTATGGCAGGATGACTAGCGACTGATTCAACACAGATGCAGTACGGCTTCATTACGACGTGATCGAGAGGCAGAATTCTTCGACCTTGGCCGCGCGTTCCGCCGCCGGTGCTTCGTCAATGACCTTGCAGATCTTGGAGCCAATGACGGCGCCTTCCGCGAGCTTCCCGGCCGCCTGCACGTGCTCTTTGGTCGAAAGGCCAAAGCCGAGCGCGAGCGGCAGCGAAATGTGGCGGCGCACGCGCTCGACAAACGACGAGACGTCAACGGGCAGCGACGTGCGTGAGCCCGTGACGCCGTTGAGGCTCACGACGTACACAAAGCCGGAGCCGACCGATTCGATAAAGGCTAAGGATCGTGTCGATGAGATCCCAAACGATCGGAAATAAGATGACGTACGCATGCGCTCCTCGGATGTGGTCGGCGCGACGAGCGGGATGAAGTTGATACCGTGCTTCTTGCAGAGGCTGCTCATGTCCTTGGCCTCTTCCGGCGGCAAGTCGACAATGATAAAGCCGTCGGCGCCCGCTACATGCCCCTTAGCCGATGCGCAAAGTCCGTGTAGTTCGTACCTTGCTTGGCGTCTTGGCACACAATGTCGAGACCGTACTGCATAAAGTTGTTGAAGTAACCCATGAGCACGACAGGAATCGTGAGGCCGCGGGACCGGGCTTCGGCGACCGTCGCCAGCACGTGCTTGAACGTGATGCCTTGGTCGACACCGTTCTGGTGGGCCTTCTGGATGACGGGACCGTCGGCGCCAGGATCCGAGTACGGCACGCCAACCTGGTGCATGTGTGAGGCAGGCGAGGAGGCGTAGCACCGGGCGTACCTCGATGATGTCGGCGCCGCCGGCCTGGCACGCGAGCAAGATCGGGACCGTGTCTTCCTTGGTCTTGTAGCCGCACGGGATGAACGTGATGAACGCCGTCTTCTGCGCGGCCTTGCACTTGGCGAACGTAGCGTCGATACTACGTTGACGGCCTCATGAGCTCTCGTCCAGCGACGTCGGCGACGCGCTTACCGGCTCATGCGGATGGAAATCTGAAAATGCAATCTGGGAGAGATTTCCTGGAAGATTGATTGCGTCATGCACGGCCGGATACGACCATGGTATCCGTAGAAGAACGCCACAAGAAAAGTTCGTCGCCCGCGATTGCGCGATGCGCCTGACGATCGCCATGCGCCGAGGCGAGCAACCGTGAGGATGGGCGAGGTAGAGGCCTTCATTTTGCATCGGCATGAAGCTCCAGCTCCATTCGCTGCATGATGAACTGCTCTTGACAGAGTGGCCTTGACACGCGTGCCACCGAGCTACCGCCTTGACCACCGACGAAGGCCTGCGCTTGACAGCATGCGTATGAGCCGAACCGTAAGCTGCTGTGCATGCCACTCGAGGCTGGTCTCCTTGCATCACCATCATGCATATACGCCCCCAATGCTGCATATGCATTGCTCATTACCCTGCACCGAACGCACGAATCGCGACGCGGGTGCTAGTGCGGGCTTGGCCCTGGCAACTGCGCAGCCGCTCGCACTTGGTCGCGCGTGACGGTCGTTGCGAGACCGTAGAGCAGCTGCACGCTGCGCACATCGCCTTTGCTCAGGGCTCGGCGCTGCCCGAGGACTTTCGACTGCTCGTGGTCGCAGTCGTCGGCCGTCGCAACGACGCAGCCGTCGCGTTCATTTTGATCGATCGCGCAGTACTTGATGCTGCGGCTCTTTGGGAGGCAGAGGCCGTGGCCGTAGTGCATGATCGAGTGCACGTCGTACATCGTGACGAGCGCCTCCTTGATGAGCACATAGTTGCTTCGCGCGACAAGGCCCAGCGTGTTGCGAAGGACGACAGCGTTGGCCGCCGGGTGCGCGTGCTCGTGCACGACGCCAAACGCATGCAGGAGCTCGTGCATGAGCGACCCAAGCCCATGGTGGAAGGCCCGCGGCAGCAAATTGAGCTTCTGGCCGGCCTTGCCGCGGTAGCCCACCTCGGCAAACGTACCACGCTTGTCTCGGGGGTCTTGCTCGATCGAGACGTAGTGCTGACAGTGACCGCAGATCGTCGCACCGGCAGCACACTCGTGACGGGCCATAAAGGCGAGACCCGTGTCCGCAGCCAACACCGTCATGGCGGCAAACACGGCGGTGCGCTCGGACTCGGTGAAAGCCGAGTCCGCCACCTCATAGCAGAGAACCGCGTCGGGCCAGAGCCGGCGCTTCTTGTCGCTGGCAACCCCGAGGCGGCGGTGAGTGGCGTCGCGTGGGCAAGCGACGACGTCGTCGATGTGCCCATCTGCGGTGCCGTCTTCTTGGTAGCAAGTCAGTGTGCCGTGGTCGCACACTTGGTAGATGGCACCCACGTCGTGCGGCTCGCCAACGAGGTAGCGCAGTTGACCGTTGGTGAGGTAGTACGAAGAAACGTTGTGGCCGCGTAGGACGCCGTGGACGGTGCAGCCAAAGGAGCTGTCGCGTGGAAGCTTTGGTCCGCGCAGCCACGCGATCGCCTCCCAGCCACACAGTGCCACGAGGAAGAGAACGATAAAGCACTCCATTCGACTCGGCAAGAGCAATGAAAAGTGAGGCGAGCGGGACCGGAACCTGGGACAGGGACGACTTTTGTCCACCGGGAGATGCCCGTTGAACAAGGGCTTTGTCGCAACGTTCTTTCATGCAAGTCAGTTGTCGCTCGTTTGTCATCGGCTCGTGAGGTGAATTATTCGTGGGGACTTGGACTCCACTGTCGGTGGGAGAAGCAAAGCCGAAGTGATGACGACAGATTCTAGGACTTGTTACTATCTTCTGTTGCGTCGGAGCTGCTAGAGATACTGTCGCTGTCGATGCTATTGATCTCGGATCGGCGATGATTGCTACCGCCAGCCTCGAGAGCCCGCAGTGTCTCGAGATGGAGTGCAAGGAGCAACCGTCGGTGCACGGAAGCATCGGCGCCAAACGTGGCCGTTGCAAGTACCACATCGTACGGGCCTTGCGGAATGAGGTAGCGCGGTTGAAACGCAAAGCGCGGTCGCTCGCTTCCTATCTCGCTATGCCGACGAGAGCGCTGCCCGAAGATCCAAGCAGCGATCGCGAGACCGACAGCACTCGCAATAAAGAGGGTGGAGGCCACGACCACAGTCCAGCGCTCTGAAGTGCTGGGATCTACGCGGCCCATGAGTCTGCTTCTTGACTAGCGATGTGTACCTGTTGGTAGACTGGGTAGTGACGACGTTGGTGTCGAGATCCTAGTAGTGAGGATGGGCACGGCGATGTCGGTTGCCACGGCTCGTGTCGTCGGTGACCAACTCGGCGCCACTGACGTCGAGTGACACGGTGTGAACGGGACGAGGGTTGTCGCATTGTCCGGCTGCGTCGCCGTGGTGTTCTCAAGGAACGAGCTCGTTCTTTTGAGAACCGCATTGGGCGACAGCGAGATTGCATTTCCGAGCGTTGGCCATCGATGGAGGACCGACGTAGCCGCAGCGTTGGCCCACAAGACAAGGAGCAGGACGAGGTGCCGCAACATGAATTTGTGCCGAAATTACGCTGTCGGGACGAGTCGAGGGACGGTGGTCGTGCTGGCTCGTATCGCTGGAAAGAACGACGCGTCAGCGGTGCTTGCACCGTCACCGCTACTCGCAAGATGCCAGCGACAACCGACAGTTCAGCGATCTGCGGGCAAAGAATACGACCTTGTGGTTGATTCCAGGGTTGGACGCTCTGCACGGCGGAGATCGCAGCGCATGCCGGAAGCGATGAGAATTCGATGAGCTCAAGACGACGCGTTTCTGGTGGGCATCAGTACCAGGAGACGCTGCGGTCGACGCCCCAGGACGCGATAGCCAGGTCGACCGGGTAGATCTTGCCACCATACTGATGGCGCGTTGATAGTGGGATGACCACCTAACGTCATGCGTGGTATATTAGCGACTTGGGAGAACGCTTTTGGATACTGTGGGAGCCAAGAGTGGCAAGACCACACAGCGACGGAACGTTTGCATCACGTGCAGCTACAAGGTTCAGCGAGCTACTTTTGTGCCGGTCGCTGGGCTAGGCAGGACCTTCCTCTCCAGCTCTCCCGAAGGGTGACTCGGTTGGGCGTGGAGACGCGGAAGATCTGAGAGAGGGCCACCAGACGATAAAGACGCTTCAAGACCACAGCTTCTACATTTGCCGACGAGTATTAATGGTGCACCAACCACTGTCTCGAGTCCACCGTCTTGTGGGGAGCGATGCTACATGTATGTCGACACGAGAACGTGCTCGTTTCTCCTTCCAGCCACCTCGTTGTGCCAAGTTGATGAAATCCTAGTCGCGTCGTCGCATGAACATGCCGAGGTTTGCAGCTTGTATTACTGCCTACATTGGTGGTGGCGTTCTAGCTCTCAACTGGGCTACAGCGTAGAGTTCAACTTCTCTAGTTCATTCGATTCTAACACGCGACGAGGCAGGACATGGGTACGGTGGAATCCAAACGCAACTGGTTCCGCCTCGGTACACGCATCACCAAATCCACACCATTGCCAGCCCGCCTTCATCGTGCTGCTACTGTGGGCAGCGCCGACATCTCCTTTATACAGGGTGGTCCGAGTACAGTAGGAGCCTGCGTACGACCTCGCGCGAGCTATGACTCGGCGAGTGGGGTCCACCACGGCGACCAAGTGCTGGTGCCAACTCCCACGCATTCAGCGCTACGTATGCGAAGTCTTTGTAATATGGGTGTTTTGCGCGCGTAGGAAGTCGAAACGACCTTTTCACGAAGGGGCGTATCTTGCGAGCCGTCGTAGAGCTAGCATTCTAGATGCACTCCTACTAAGCAACCCGCCTCACCTCACCCGAGGTCCTGGCAGTAATGAAGGCATTACGCCCATTGCCCCCTGAGCAAGCTCGCCATTGTGAAAACGAAGATAACGCGAAACACGTTCATACATACAGACAACCCACCCGGCTCGAGTGGGCATTCCAAGCCAAGGCGATGTGGGAGCCAACGTGACTTCCCACTGCCTATACCTAGCCTCCTTCATATTACCAAGTGCCGACAACACACCGCACGGCCCTTGACTGCACACACTGTATCAAGTTGATACAACTTCATACAGGTGGTTCATCTCGCACTCGTTGCTACGTTGTCGGACGCACGCGCTTGCGGCGGGGCGGCGCAATGTGACTGCGAATACCGCACGTCGAGCAAATGGGCAGGAACTCGCAGAAGAGCGAGAGACACACTGGGCACACGAACGCGGTCGCGATTGTCTTCTTGTGGCAGAAACACATAGCGCGGAAGTCGACGCTGGCTTGGCTCGGAAGCTTGAGGAGCGCGCGCGTGCTCGTGTCGGCGAGCCAGATAGTGAGAAAGTACTGGACAAGTCCGTCGACGTCGCGCGGCTTGAAGTAGACGCCGCCCGTGAGGTACGCGGCTTGCTGGAGAAACGACGAGGGTTCTTCGCTGAGGATGCAAGCGTCGATGGGCACGTGCTTCTTCTGCGCCGAGAAGATGCAGTTCATGATCGAAATGTACTGCGCGGCAAAGTCGGGCGACGCTTGGACCGAGAGGATGCGTGGGCGCAAGTCGCGCTGCTCGTTCATGGCGCGGTTGATGACTACACAACGAACGATGGATGCATCGTCGATCACGCCAAGCGACAAGTGTGGTCGTACAGCAAAGGGCGAGCGAGAGCCCGGCAGAGAGCGACGTGTTGGCGTTGCCTAGCCGCATGCATAAGAGGTATTGCATAGGCGCGAAGTAAGGTACCTTCGGTCACGGGCGTCTGGCTCAGCTCGAGCAGTTTGCGCCACACCTGCTCCTTGACCTTGGCAAACTGCTCGGCCGTGCCATTGCGGTTCGTGCCCTCCGGGTCAGGAAAGAGGAAGACGCTCTTGCCCGTGTGCGCGGCGAGGATCACGAGTCGGTTGTTGCGGTGCAGCAGCAGGTACGCGTTCACGTACAGAAGCATGCTCTCGATCTACCACGGAAGCATGAGCCGCGAGCCATGGCCGCTTCGGTACCGCGTGCTTGAGGCCGAACTCGCGCGGCTGGCCTGCCACATGGCGCATCCAATGCACGGGGTTGGTGTCGATGACGACGACGAGGAGGCCGCCCTGCGTCTCGCTGCTCAGCGCGCTCGTGCTCCCGTCCATCTTTCTGCACCACACCCGGATATGGAAATGTTGGAGTCACACTATTCACGTTTCCTCACTATTTATTGTTTACACTACTTACGTGGCGCCAACCCTTCTGTCATTCGAGCCAAAGCAGCAAAGGTCATTGTCATTGCCAGCAAAGTGACTACCTACCTACTGCGCCTAGCTTTCCCATGCAAAGCTACAGAGTGCGGTGGCTCTCTGGGCCAACGCCACGGACGAGCTTGAGGGCCAACGCCGCTACCTGTTGCTCTCGAGCCATACCGAGCGGAGCCAGCTGGACATGCGAGTGGGCCCGGCGACACTGAGACTACGAGATGCCAACGTACTCGAGGTAGAAACTTTTGTCGTCGCACGGAAAGCAACTCCAAACGCGGAAACTTTATTTGGTGACATCGTTTATTACGTCGCCTTGCGCTTGACGGGGACCTGCACTTCGACAATGATGTTGTCCCAATCGCCGTTCTCGACGTCGGCGCGCATCGGCACCTTGATATACACTTCGCGGCTCGGGCCTGCTTGCTCGTACTCGGAGGCTGCAAGCCACGGAAAGAGCGCTTCGTATGCGACTGTGATGTCGCACATGGCGCCGATGTGCTTGTAGACGGCCATGAACGCTTCCTCAAGGTCCTCGACGACAATGCGGTCGTGGCTTTCAACGAGATCTGTCGGATCCAAGGGCGAGCACACGGCCAATTCGATCGGCTCCATCGAAAAATACTTTGCGATCGTAGGGCCGCGCGGTGCGAGGCCTTGACCAAAGATAAAGGTCAAGAGCTCGCCCCAGACGCCTTTTTGGTCATGAAAGGAGTCGAGGCTCGCACGCAACATCGCGACGCGGATCGGCTTGACCGTTCGGAGCTCGACTTGGGCCATATTCGGCAAGACACGAAATGACTTCTGCAAGATCGAGGAGCACGCTATCGTTGGTGATTGGTACATATCTTTGGATATGACGAAACGGATTGGTGTACAGGGTTTAATTGGAGCCAATCGCCGTCGCCCAAATCTTTTTGCTCGCGCCAACACAGCGCTGACAACACGCAGCCCAACTTGCCGCGCAAATGCGACGTGGCGCCAGTACCAAATATGGCATGGCAAGCACGACGAGTGTACCAGCTCCATACCGGTATATTTATATGGAGAATATTGAACTGGGTGTTTGGTGCCGCGCAATGCCTGCTAAATGTGGCATTTGCCGCAAAAACGGCGTCATCGATAGCTCTCGCAGTACGCCGCCAACGCCGACGGGACGAAGTGTTTCGGGCTCGCTACAACGTTGTCTATTGCTGTGCCAAGTATGGGCGATTTCATTTTCACGCGTTGTTTGGGCGAACGGGCCTCCCTGCCTCGCGGGTGGCGGTGTGATATCGCATTGATCGCACATGATTGGCTATAAAAGGGATCGTCGTGGCCAATAGAAAAATGCTGGGAAAAGATTTTTATTCTGCACCGACTCGCGCAGTGAGCTTACCACAATGCTACAAAGTGGGAAGCTTGGCAAGGCGATAGATACCTGCAGGACTGGGACGAGGCTCCATTGCAGGGAGGCTCGTCAACGACAAGACACTTGTCTTCAATATGCTGGCAAAATGTCAAATCAATACCGGTGGTTGGGTCTGGAGCCGAGTGCCTTTAGCTCGCATTTTGCTACGAGAGTCTCACAAGACGGTGCGACAAAACACGACGAGACGGTTCTCGCCCATGGCTTTGTTGTCCCAGTAGCTGACATCCGCTCGTGTCTGCTCTTCGGTGCGGCTCCACTCGACGTACGCGAGCGTCGCGTTGGCAGCATTGACGTGCCTGGTTGTCGTCCCACGCTCGCCCAAGGTCCACAACTTCTTTTCAATCGAGACCCAGCGCAAGGACGAGGACGCACTCGCGAGTAGTATCTTGACGAGCTGGACGAGGCGCGGCGCGGTACACCGACGTACGCGCAGCGTTAATCCGGTCAGTCCGCGCGACACGATCTGCGTGAGCCACGTCGTCGAAAAGTTGTAGTCGACATGGAGACTCAAATACCGTAGGTGGACGCAGTGCTGCAGCGCGCTCGCAAGATCTCTGCCCATCGCATCGTTCGAGATGCACCAACACGCCATGCGGAGCTCCTGGAGCGACGGCAGCGCAATCAAGAGCGTATGAGGCCACGAGGCCAGCATGCGCGAGTCCCACTGCAGCTCGAGCACCTTGAGCTGGCGCAAGAACGACTCCATGGGTGCGTCACGCGAGATGTATGTGACGAGCCAACTTGAAATCGCGACGAGGCGGCTCGCGAACGGCAGAACTGCTGCATAGTGCTCGATGGCTTCGCGTCGCCAGTCGCCTTCGAGTTGACACACATCGAGGAAGAAGGCCGACACCTCGACCTGGAGATGACGCACCTTGGGCGGCAGCTTGCGTTGCTGCAGGAAACGCTCGTCGACGCCCGCCACATTGTCGAGCACAAGCTCCGTCAAGCTCGCGCTTGCAGCCATGGCGGCGCACAAGGCGACCGCAGCGTCCACCGAGAGGTCGGAAAACGTAGCTTCAAAGAGGTGCAAGCGCTTGCAGCGTCCGTTGGCGAGCATGGCAATGACGTCGCTGAGTATGGACGCTGGCATCGCGCCGCGCAGCGTGAGCTCCGTCAGTGCCGAGAGTGGCAGACGGTCAAACAGCTCGTAGGACGCAGTCGACGTTCGGACGTGCAGATTGGCGCTGTAGAGGCGCGGACACGCGGCTAGGATGGACTGCAATGCACTCGCCTCCTTGGTCCGCGGAAACGACGCCGAGACGTGGTTGACGACAGGCGACAGTTGACGAAGGAACGCGAGACCGTTTGCATCAACGTCGACTCCCAAGGACACGCGCGCACCAATGACTTGGACGTCAAGAAGATGGCGTAGCGTCGCAGCACTGGGGGCGAAGCGTATATGCACCGCGGGCCAGGCCACGCGCACGGACGGCGTCACGAGGAGGGCGTCAAGGGCTGTCACCGCCGGCGTTTTGGCCGAGGATGGAAGCGCAGACAAGAGCTGCACGATCGTGTAGTGGTGCTGGACGAAGCCTGCAATATGCTCGATGGCGTCGGGCGTCGAACTCACGGCCGCAGGGCTATGGCGTCGTCGGGCCATTTTGTCCGAGACAAGCAGACTGGCCATTGGCTACGAAATGCTGCGCGTTCATTGGTTGATTTGAGTTCGTCCGTTTCAGCACCAACATGCAAGGGCAATGTGAATTGACCAAAAACCTCCAAAACCACAATAGTTCTTATTCCACGAGAATGTGCAAAGGTATTTGGCGCTATAAAAGACGTCACTTATCTGTGTACACTTGAATGCTTCGAGGCTGGAAACGCAACAATCACCACGTGTGGCTCACTCAAAACTCAACATTCCAAGCACAAGCTTACGTCATGTGCACGACCGCATCGGTCAAGCGCGCTTCTTCGGCGGCAAACACCATGAGATGCGACGCCAAGCTCTCGTCGGCGCCCGTCAGCAGGACGCTCGCATCATTCGTGCGCACGCCGTGCACAAAGTTTTCGATCATGAAGAAATCAGCGCCGCCGTGGCCCTTGACCTTGGATGTGGACGGCAGCCCCGCCGGCGTAATCTCGGTGATCTTGCGGCTGAGAAAATCGAAGTGGCGGATGCTCGATCCGTTGCCCGTGAGCTCGCCGTGGGTGCCAAAGACGCGCGTGGTGCGGACACACTAGTCATCGATGGACATATTGTCTTTGGTTTGGTAGACACAAGAACACGAACCTGCTGCTCTGTGAACGCGACCATGCTGAACGAAGCGGTTGCGCCATCGACAAACTGAAAGTTGACGACTTGGTTGTCGACAACGTCGTTGTCGCACTCGTAGACGCAGCGGCCGTACCGTCCTGTCGCGAGCTCGTGCGTAATGTTGTCCACCGTCGGGTGTTCTATACAGAGCTGTCACGATGACATACCCACACGTCTGGTCGTACCGTGGAGGACGTTGACAGGCCAGCCTTGGTTGCCTTGCGACGCGCTGGCTTTGCCCGTGTACCACGACTGGTTGCTCGGCTTCACAGTCGCTCGTGCGCCGTCGCACTGCTCAATCTCAATCGGCTCGAACGACGTCGGCGCGTCATCCACACCAAGGTACATCTTCTTGGCCGAGTAGACACACGACGCTTCAATGGGGCACTCGAGACAGCGGTCCCCGGCGCCGTCTGGCTTTTCTTCCTACAAAACACAAACGCAAATCAGAAAACTAGTCTAAGAAGTGAGTCGCAACCTTGCGAAAGTGGTAGAGCGACCCGAACGAGCTCACGGCGCGCACGTCTTTTTGCATGAGAAAGTTTATGTAATCAATGTCGTGGCAGCTCTTGGCCATGAGCATGAACGTCGCCTCGGCCTGATTGCGCCAGTGACCCCGCACAAAAGAGTGCACCTACAGCACGGCGTTTCGTACTACTGTTCATACATACATAGACAATATTCTCCATACCTGGTGCCAAAAGCCGACTGGCTCGATGTGCTGGATGTTGACCACCTTGCCGATCGCGCCGCTTGCGATCAGCTCGCGCAGCTTGAGCGAGTACGGCGTGCAGCGCATGACATGGCACACGGCCAGCAAGACGTTGTTGCGCGTGGCGGCTGCATGGATGCGAATGCAGTCGTCCTTGGTCACGGCCATGGGCTTCTCGAGCAAAATGTGGTAGCCGAGGTCGGCAAAGGCGATCGCCGGCTCTACCAGTCAATCGATCAGATACCATCTGAATCATTTCTGGAACGGACCAGCGTGCATCGAGTCTTGGGTCGCAATGATGACGCAGTCGGCAAACTTGGGTTTGGCGGCCGCGTCTTCCCACGTCGTAAAGACGGCATCGGACGGAATGCCATAGCTAGTCGGATTGTATGCAGAGATACGGCTATGGCGTATGGATGCCAGTGCAAACGTACGTTGAGGCGGTGTGGTCGCGCCAGTACGTCACGGGCTCGGCGACGCCGACGACTAGGCAGCGTCAATGACAGTGCTGACCTGCGACGTTGTACCTTGGAAGAGGTCGGGGCGCTCGAGAGCGTACTCTGCGTAGGCGCGGCCGCGCTGGCCAGCGCCAATGATGACGGCGCGGACAGGACGGTCCATGGCTACCTCTCCTTTGGCTCTGGTTCGGAAATGACGTTTGCAATCTTCGAGGCTAAAGACACCCAACATCGTCGACGAGAATGCAGGTCTCACGCTGATAAGACTGCAAGTCGCACGAGGTCGAGCTGGCGTCAAGCAGCCAAAGATGCTCTTCGTCAGGGTATCGGCCTCCTCGATGATCATTTATGGCTCTTGGTTGTTTACCAGGCGTAAGATCCGGTCCTTTGCGGCGCTTCAGATAAAAACAATGGAGCTCGTCCCAAATCTGTATCAACGACAACCTAGCTGCGTACACATCGACACGTGACTTTGGTCGCAAGGATGTGCTTCGCAGGCTATTGTTGCCAAGGGAATATTCCTTGCTTGCTGCCGAGAATATTGTAGCAGCCCCCACCACCCGGCGGGATCTTTATCCGGATGAAAAATGAGCTGGCAGGCTGTGGGCAGCGCTTTATCCGGAACCACCGACATTGCACCGACCAACCACCACACAAGCACGACAGTATGCTGGCGCTACCTTGTCTACCTTGGCGGCGGCATCACTGTAGGGAAAGACTAGAACTACGTAGTACGAAATGGGCGGACATATATGATGCTTTCTTGCGAAGAGGTCTGCACTCTTAAGGCCTTTAGGGCAACGTGGCGTCATCGAGTTGCGACCTGTACTTGAGAATGATATCGGCAACGATGACCTAGAATGAGGACTGGGGTGACTCATCACAGAGGTCCAGCACCCAGAAGATGCGAAGACAACGAATTTTGTCGCCAAGCGCGTCCTCGGTGGATGCGAGCCCCGAGTCCGAATGGGCCTCCACTTGCTCCGCGACCGCCGCCCAATCTCACAGAGGACGCCGCTGACAACGCACAGGTTGAGTCGCAAAAGCGTTTGCCACTCAAGATCGAGCGACTGCTGGAGATCGTCGAGGCTTGACGATATTTCCTCATACGTTGAAAGGCGACGCAAAACTGGTCGGCTTCGACCTGGGCA